TATGGAAGACTGCATGCGAATAAAAATGATTTCGCAACGAAAATTAACGAATTGGCAATTTAATTAGATTTTTTAACAAGTAATTTCTATTTTTCATAGGGTCTTTACAACTGGCAAATAATATCTGTTGGTGATTTAGTTACACCCTACGTTACCTTGGTATGCACTTAGACATCTATACATTTTAATTAATATTTAACAATTTAGTTTCGTTTAAGGACAGTTAACAATCATGGGATTTCAACGCCTTCGTAAAATGTATTTGTTCTGTTCTCCGACAGATTAATATTTACGATTAGAGCAGGCCACGCGTGCTCCACGCGACCTAGCCGGCCTCATGTTTATTTAGATATCGATCTAACGGGAACCCTTTTAATCAGGAACTTCGAGATTTGATTCGACCGCTCGCTCGGCTAAGGCGGGCCCATGTCAGCTCGTGATTTCTTCTGACATTTTGGCTTGGGAGTCCCATGAGGCTGGCAACCGGGGTCTAGCGGTGAAGAGAACTAGTCGATTCACGCACGAGTGGGAGCCTGCACGTGACGCACGCACTCCCGGCACGTGGCTCAGTCAAGCGATATTACTGCAGTAATCAGGGGAATAGTTAACTCACGGATGTATCTGCTTCGTTTGTCTTACGCGTATGTAATAATTGAAGTACGTTTATTTGCCCAATTGTCGGACGGAACTACTTTCTTACTAGACTTCAGTTTCATCATTATCATCTACGGCCTTCACCGTAGTGACTCTTATCGCTAAAGGTCCCTTGCTGTTTCATTTCGAATATTAATTAATACAGACACATGTAATTTTCTGAGAAGTAAAAGCAGCTGGCGTGATCACCTCCTCAGCGACCAAGTGTCGACTGATCTATGCAAATATGACTAGCATTATATACCACTGGCATACAAAGGGGTCTTTACTATACTTTTTTTCTAAACTGATCTCTCATATATTACACTTGATGGGCTTTTCGCCTGTTTGGTTTCTGCCAATCTCAGTGAAAACAAAACTCTAAGGCACACGAGGACATTTGGACTGCACGAATGCTTTCTTTTAGTTATGGAGCACAACTAAAAGAGATGAAATCTTAATAAAATATTTAAAAACAGTCTTACAACAAAAATGTGAACCCATCGAAGATGCGAACAGCAGGGAAATGAGAGTGAGAAGCAATAACGAAATTAATTATCTGTTTAAATCGCCGTTGATCACAGGTATCATAAGAGAATTATTCAGAAATAGCCGGGGCATATAGAAAGAATGTCAGATGACAGAGAGGTTAACAGTTTTATACACAAAGGAGTTGAATGGTCGTAGACCACTAGGCAGAACAAGAAGATAACAGAGAGATAATATCTACACAAACTGACAAACACATGCTGTCACCACCTGGAAAGAGAAGACCAGCCAGAGAGATGAATGGAGAAGGGTGATTTCTGTAGTAATTAACCTCTGGGGCTTGGAATGCTCAAGAAGAAGAAGTTAACTTTCGGTAAGGTTATTGGCTCCCTGATATAAGGTTTTCTGACAGAATGATCGACGAACAAGAAGATCGATGACATATGTACCCAGAAACCAATGTGACACCCAGTACTAATACTTTAATTAATATTCACATTCCACAGAATTCTTCAGGGACCAGTTTTGACAACTAATGATGGCAACCGACTGTGCGGGTGAGCAATCTTTGCTGGCTTTAATTCCAGTCAGTGCTCACGTGTTTTTCCTTAGGGACCTCAACTTGGATCATTTGTACGAGTGGTTTACAATGGCCTGCCAACAACTGCTCACTTCAGTCGTTTGTAGTAGGTTGGTTTTTGCGAGGACAGAGTTCTTCGCCCTGAACAAGTTCCTAAATTTGTGTGTTTGCGCGTGTGTGTGAGGGGGTCTATGTGTTTGTGTGTTTCAAAGAAAAAAAGGGTACATTTTACGCTGGTCTAGCTATTTGCACACTGCTACACACTATCAGAAGTGAGGTGGTCAGTAGGTCGTCCAATCAAAAGCGAGCTAGTGTGTAGCGGTCTGGGGAGATCAGAGTAAAAATTTACCGAAAAAAAGATGTACACAAACGTCAGTCTCCCCACAGGAAGTATGTGACTTTCTATTGATAAATTTGTTGGACTAGTCTACCCTGGTCGAGGTTATGGGTGTGGCGCTCTGTTGTTGTCTTGTTGTCTTTCCGAGAAAAAGTACTGTTTGTGAAATAGGTTGCAGCACTCTCTAGTGGGTTATGTTTTATACCCAGTTTCTAAATGTTTTTATAGTGTAAGAAGCGCTGGCGTGGTGAAATATAGAACACGCTAAATCAGCGGCGTTGTCAAACACCTCCGTTACCTTGTGTGACGGTCGGGTGTTTTTCAAGGCCGAATAATCAGAAGTAAGCTAAGTGTGTACCGGTGTGTAGAATAGGGGGGGGGGGGGGGTGGGATAGGAGGGCAACATATGATTTATCGAAAAAAAGAAGAGCGGGGACATACACAAACACATAACGAGAGAGAGAGAGAGAGAGAGAGAGAGAGAGAGAGAGAGAGAGAGAGAGAGAGAGAGAGAGAGAGAGAGAGAGATACAGGTGTGTGCGAAAGAAGCTTCTCAAATTATGTTCATGTTGATTGCGTAGGGGGAGCGGGGATGGGGCTGGGTTCTTGTGCTAAAAAGTTAGTTACTATCCTGACAGGATTTTGAAAAACCAACCAACCCAGCTTTTTCTGGCAGTTTTTTCTGTTCTCTAGGCAATTTTACGTTCAGCAGTTTCTCATTGCTTCATAAACAGTCGCCTTTCAACACCGGGGTCGAAACCAAATGGGTTTGCTGCCGAACTGCCCCAAGCTGGGTTTGAACCCGGCACGGCACTTTGGAACTGGGAAGCGCTTTTTTAACCCCTAAGCCGCGGACGCTGACGCTTCTGCTATACCATGTTCTAAATGTAAGTTTTTTTTTTTTTTTTGTCTAGAGCTTTTCTTGCAATTATCAGTTATTAGATGGGTTATCCGTACAACATTCCGAACACCCCAAAATTACATTAAAGTTGCTACTGCATTGGAGGACTGAGCACTCATGAGAATTCCCGGTGCACATTGACGTTGATTGTGATATCATAAAATAAAAATATTAATTATGAATATTTTTTCTTCTAAAGTAAGAAAGAAATCTTACTGGATGCAGATGAGAATGCAAAACCTTTAAGTAAACAGACATGTGTCTATTGACAGAGCCATTTAACTAAGTTGACTAAGAGGCTTGACGATGCATCATTGAAACTATCAAAGACACTGAAACGTATTATCTACGACGGGAACATAAGGACCCGTTCCAGATATCTCTTCCTTCTCTGATGCTGCGAGGCATTCCAGAGGTAGGGAAAAGAACAAGGAAAAAGATTCAGGGGCCAGAATCTTGCCAAAATATGGATCGTAGTTGGTCAGTGGCCAGAATCCCAGCATAGACAGATCATCAATCAGCCAGTGCTGGAAAGGAGCATAAACTAAGTTGCAGTGTAGTGCAGCAGTTCTCAACTTGCTGGGACGATTCCTTTTTTTTTGGGGGGGGAGGGGGGGGGGAGGGTCGAACGACTCTTTTACAGGGGTTGCCTAAGCCCATAGGAGGACATTCATTGAAGTTATGAAGGAAACAAAATGTTTGGGGGTCGCTACAACAGACTGTCTGTCTGGATTTCTTCTTTTCCTTTCTCCTGTTTATCTGCCTTTTTTAAAACAGTTTTTCTGTCTAAAGTTTTCGTTGGATGATTCTACGTTCACTTCCTACGACCTACAAATGCGTATTTCCCATTCTCCCTTACTGTCAAGACTTCTAGATTCTAGAGCATGGTCATTCAGCTCAGTTGACTCAGGGGCCAAAATGTTGGAAATTTGCGATTGTCTTGGGTCACAGTCGGCTCTGTGGCTATGTCGATGCGAACGCTTCGTAATGCCGGGGTGCCGGGTTTAATCCCAGCTGCGGGCTATGCGCCTTGCGTTGGTTTCGGCAGTGGTATCAGGGAGCCGACCGCCCTGAAGCAATGGCAAACTACTGGACGTAAATTTGCCTAGAGAAACCACGCAACAGTCAGGAGCTGCTGGGGTTGGTTCTGCACCGTAAAGGATACCCAACTAACCTTGGGTCACAAGCCAGAGACCTAGCATAGACAGATCATTAATGCAATCCAGTTGACAGGGGATCCGCGGACCACTTACTAGGCCCCTGCGGACCAGATTTGGCCCGCGGGCTGCCAGTTGAAGTCCTGCTCTTGCATATAACCGGTCACTACCAGTAGCAATGTTTCACCCAGGGCAGCCAAAGGTGACACTGGGAAGGAACGTTTAAAAAAAAAATCCACTCCTGTTTCCGCTGTCACCGGAAACCTCGCCCGTCACTTTTATGGCCACACCCCTTTAACCCACATCAGGCGTGTCCCCTCCCACCCAGGGGTGACAAAAGATGAAAAGAGCGCGTTGTCGGCGAGAGTACGACCAGTCGCTGCCGTGACAAGACCAGCAGTACCTGCTGCCGTTTGTTGTATTTCACGGAACCCAGGGAAAAGCTCTCATTTGGATCGCGCACTTGGCGCTGTTTCAATTGTTTTACCAATGTCCTAAAATACGTTTTTAGAATCTAGGCAAATTTAGGGAATCTATACTGTTTAACAGTTTACTTAATTTAGTTGTTTTTGCCCTTGACTTAAGTCTAGTTATTAACTAGACATTTATAGAAAATAAAACTATATTACTGGAAATTGGATTTTCTATGGACAGTGAGAAAGTCACAGAACAACATTTGTGATCAGTGTTTTGTATAGGAGTATCAGAAACCGGATCTCACGAAGCAAAAGCGAATAGTGGATCGGTATAAGAGCCAGCTAGAACAATACTTTGTTCTCCCCTTTCACGCTTGTCAGAAATATTTTCTAGGCTCAATCTTGCACTAACCTTGAAGCTTTAGCCTCTGAGCCTTGCATAACCACAGGCGGACCGTAACCCTTTACCGAGCTTCACAACGTTGACATGCTTCTCAAAATCAGCCCGGACAGCCCATCCTTTGGGGAACATTTTCACAGCATGGAAAGTCTGGACCGTTACAGTTCTGACATGGACGGCATGTCGGTCAGCACGGATGAACAGTCTACTGCAGACATACCCATGAGTGTCTCCGGGCAGCACCAGGAGTTGACTGACCAAAAGTCATATCGCCATCAGGATGGGGCAGTGACGCCCAAGAAGAAGCGCATTAGAAAGACCAGGGCTAAAGTGAAAAGTCCAGAGGTAAGAGGCCATTTTTCTGTTCATGTTTTTCTTTCTGCTGATGTCTATGTGCTACGGTATGTCTTTTGCTCTTTCTGTCTGTCTTTTTCTCTTTCTTACATTTTTTGGCTATAACTTTCGGTTTGCTTTTCCTTCTCTTATATTTAGTATCCAGCACCTTTTATCCTTTTATCACTGCATTTCTTTTCTTTGCGTTTTCTTTTTTCTTTTTTTTCTTTCTTTCTTTCTTTTTTTTTTTCTTCTTTCTTTCTTTTTTTTCAGTTCTTTCTTTCTTTCTTTCTTTCTTTCTTTCTTTCTTTCTTTCTTTCTTTCTTTCTTTCTTTCTTTCTTTCTTTCTTTCTTTCTTTCTTTCTTTCTTTCTTTCTTTCTTTCTTTCTTTCTTTCTTTCTTTCTTTCTTTTTTTCTTTCTTTCTTTCTCTCGTCTTTCTTTCGTCTTTCTTTCTTTCTTTCTTTCTTTCTGTTTCTTTTCTTTCTTTCTTTCTTTCTTTTTTTTTTCCTTTCTTTTTTCTTTTTTCTTTCTTTCTTTCTTTATTTCTTTCTTTCTTTCTTTCTTTCTTTCTTTCTTTCTTTCTTTCTTTCTTTCCTTTCTTTTTTCTTTTTTCTTTCTTTCTTTCTTTATTTCTTTCTTTCTTTCTTTCTTTTCTTTTCTCTTTCGTTTTTTCTAGATTAATCTCTTTGTCTTTTTGTTTGGAATGTTTTTAGTTCTGCTTTTTTTTAAAGGTAAAATTTATGATTCCAGTGTGACTGTATTATTTGCTAATCATGAAAGCCAGAGTGAATAAGGAGAAAGAGATAAGCAGGAAAAGAGTGGAAGACAGAGATAAAGAAAGAAAAAAATGAAAGATAGAGATATAGAAAGAAACAGATGGAGAAACAAGTGCAGAGATAGAAAGACACATAGAGCAAAAGAGAAAGATAGGGATAAAGAAAACAAACATAAGGAGAGATTCATCAAACACATTTTTGCAATTATATCTTTGGAACCGATTAGCAACTTAAAATATAGTTGCTTCCGGGCCCGTCACGGGACATGCTTCACGTGTTTTAATGCTGCTTCAGGGGAGTCTCCGTAGCGAAGGGGTCAAGCCGTTTTCCTCACGCTCTTGAGGTCGTGGGTTCTTTTCACGGCTGCGCCTCTCAGTTCACGGGTGCAGTTTTACGGAGATCCTTATGGATCGTTACCTCAGCTACTAAGTTTGTGCTCTGTGCGATGCTTTCAGTAAGAAGCTAGCCGCTGTGTGGAGAGAGGCCGAGCCATATGAGATAAAACCCAGTGCAATGAAGTCGATCATCTACACTTTAACTTTGTAACTTAAACTTAATAATACTGCAAAAGCAGTGTTAATAAAGAAGACGAAAAAATTATACTCTGCCTGCTGACCAACGCTTCCTCCTTGAGCAGCTGTCTACCAAGACCAAGGACCTGGTTTTTCCTGCAAAAAATGCAGTTTTCAAGTTGCATTTCCTCTTCTTATGATACCCAATTGTAGTGTCCTCCTCGAAACTCTTCTCCACCAGAACCTGCTGGCATAATGTGTGGTATATCAGAACATGTAGTACCATCTACTTTGATACCGAAGTTTAGTCATATTAGACCAAGACCTGGCTTCCTTACTTAGCATTAACAACATAAAATTGCACGGTCTAGCGAGCTCTAATTATATGTTGTTCTCTTTCAGGTGATTCTGAAACTGAAGACTAGTCGACGCCAGCGCGCTAACGATCGAGAGAGAAATCGAATGCATGGCCTTAACGAGGCCCTTGAAGTTCTGAGAACCACTCTTCCCAACTCTACAGACGCCAAAATGACCAAGATTGAAACACTACGTTATGCCTGCAACTACATCAGCGCTTTAGCGGCCAGCGTGAAACTGCTGGAACAGAATAAGGACAGGCATGATTTTGGGAGCGAACTGCCCAATCCAGATGACTACGCTTTTATGCTGAACTTTCAATACAGCTCAGAGAATATAGACGATCTATCTCGAAGTCCACACTGTTCGTTGGCATCAATGCAGAGAAACAGCTGCGAAGATGATGACGGAAATTTCGGGACTCAGATACATCCAAGAGTCTCACAGGCGCCACGCATTGAAGGCAACATCCACCATATGCCAGCATCTCATGCTCAAATTATCCCCAGTATCAACTCCATGGATATTCCATCAAACACAGACTCTTTTCTATTTCAAGAGGAAGTCATTTTCCAGCAATCACACAACAGTAATCTGAGCGCCAAACAACAGGATCAGAGGCAACTTCATGGCAATTCAAACATGCAGCAGTTTTCCTGTTTTCTCAATACCGCAAATAAAAACCGCATCCCCAGCCCAACTTTTGACAATATGCTAAACTCCATGAGCAACAGATATGAGTCATTTTACGACACCCACTTCAATTCCATCTCCCAACAGGCTTTGACCACATCTCTTCCGTACAACACGCCACCTACTTCACCAGAAAGCACTAAACAAAGTCCACGTCATCATCAAGGCAACCACCAACCACACCATCACCAACAACAACAACAACAACAACAACAACAACAACAACAACATCGCACCAATCAAATCCCTTTGGCGTCTTTAAATCACAACAATTTTCTTTTCCAACAACAACAACAACAGGATCTCCATCTCCAGCACAAACTGCAGCCCTACGCCAACAGCCATTCAAGTGGTAACCAGAGCTTGTCATCGTCAGCGATGGCCATGATCTCAGCACAGTTTTTATGACAGAAAATACTAGACACTAACACAAGAAACCATTGATACAAATGACTCCAGTGAGAACAAACATTTCATATGACTACTTGGCCCAGTCTAATTTATATACTTGTATATATATATTTTTACATACGACAGTATTTCTCGCTATGTGGTTGCCATTGATACAACTTGTACATCGTGCTGAAGATACGATAAGCTCATCACGACAATGATGGTAGACGTTACATGACAAATATGATCGAAGTATCTCAGGTGCATTCTCAAAGGGCAGAGAACTGGGCTGCCAGATCCACATGGTTAGGGTAGATGATATCTGGTTCCTTCTTCCCTGGAGTAGTTTATGAAAATGCAGTAATGTTTCTAGAATGGTTAGAAATTCAGTCTTTTTTCTACAGAATGTTGGAAGTATACGTACACAGAAAGAATGATTTAAAACGAACTAACGACAAGTAGAAACAGTGTGTTAAAGGGGAGGCAAAGAACACGATATATATATATATATATATATATATATATATATAGAGAGAGAGAGAGAGAGAGAGAGAGAGAGAGAGAGAGAGAAAGCAGTTAAAAATAGAAAAGCTGGTTGAAAGCGAAAGTAATAAAGTTATAGGGGCGAAAGAAGAGAAACATTTTCATACAAATCAAAAAGAAAGCAGGAAATAAAAGTAAGAAAACAGAGCCCTGGAAAACAATAGAGGAGGAGAGCTAAAGAAATTGTTGTATTTCCTTGTTGCCTTATTAGGTGGTAGTGTTATTGCATTGCTACTTTTTTATGGTTTTGTTTACTTCATATACATACGGATGCCTTGTATAGAGTGAACTCCCGTGTCTTATCTCTAGACATTCGAGCAAAAATGTGAATCTTGAATTTAAAAAAAAAAAAAGAAAGGAAACTATAGGGAAGACAATAAATAGAAAAGGGTAAGAAAAATAAAGTATACGTCATCTTTACAAAACTAACTACAGTGAAGAAACAAAGGACATTGGGGTGATATGCCTTCTCCAGCAAAAAAATGACAATAAAACATAAACAGACAAAAATGTGTAGTAAATTTCAAGTAACTGCATAAAACATATGGACACATAACACTAGTTGTCAGCTGAGCTGAGCTGAGTTCAGTCAAGAATTGACATTACAGCACTCGTGGCATTCACATGAGTGCTCCATCCTCATTTTCAGCAATTAGTGCAGTTCCAGTACTAATGGTACTGGTCACAATCTGGTTATATGTCCGTCTCGCTTTTCCTCTGAGTGTAGTGAGTCGGCCAGACCCTCTGTTTACACCCAGGTAACACTAGTTGTCATCGCTGAATATATATATATGTGTGTGTGTGTGTGTGTCATATCTTTATACACACTTAATTTGTTATCAAGTCTGTATATGATCTAACCGTATACATAATCATAGCATGACTGCAGGTTTTTACTTGCTGTTGTGCTGCTTTTGCGAGTGCCTTTTCTTGAATCAGATATCTGGGATATGTCCTGTTTGTTTGCAATCCTGACTGCTACTCTATGAATCGCACTGGTGCTTATCGCTTCAGATTTTAGTCAGAAGATGTACAAAAGTCAGTCAATCTTGATTGATTTGAAACCAGAAACCTAATTGATTGAAGTCAAAATAAATTGTGCTCACGCTATACTTCAAATAAGTAAACTGTTAGAAGAGCTTAATGTCCCAAAGTAACATTAGGAATAATTGCAAAAGCATGGATAGTAACTGAACGAAAACATAAATGAGCGGCAAACAAATACCTGCAAATGTGTCTGCTGCAGTTTCAGACTTTCCTCTCAAATTTGTTCTTTATAAATGTCCCCCATTTTATTATCTCCATTATTTGAAGCCTTACTCTGTCTTCTTGTTTCTCATAACAGTTATAATAATGCTATTGCATTGTCGTTATTTGAATTACCACATTCCATATGTTAACACGAAAGCCTTTTCTAAAATGTTTACATGTCTCAACGTCACAGCATTCCATCATGTTTTCTTGGAACATGTTCGAATTTTTAAAACGTTTTATACACGCTTGTTTTTATGTATTTACATCGTCTCTAATCAGTCAAGTCTTTTGACGTTTTTTTTTTCATTGAAACTATTCAATAAAGCGGGTTCCCATTTATTGTGCAATACGTTTCATCTGATTTGCTATTTAGGTGTGTATACGGTGAGTCGTACAAAACGATGATTGATTCAGTTATGACAGGAATTTACCGGCCTTTTTTCAGTGGCTGTTTTATATACATATATAATGTAATACAACAACGAAAAATGAAATTACTTTTGCCATCACCCATCACTACTGCTATTACTTTTTAAATTACTACAAGAACGACTACTACTACTACTGCTATCACCACCACCACCACCACTACTACTGCTATTACCACTACTACCACCACTACTACTACTATGACTAATACTACCACTACTACTACCACTACTACTACCACTACTACTACCACTACTACTACCACTACTAGTACCACTACTACTACCACTACTACTACCACTTCTACTACCACTACTACTACTACTATGACTACTACTACTACCACCACTACTACTACTATGACTACTACTACCACCACTACTACTACTACTACTACTACTACTACTACTACTACTACTACTACTACTACTACTACTACTACTACTACCATTACTACTACTACTACTATGACTACTACTACTACTACCACTACTACTAACACTACTACTACTACTACTACTACTACCACTACTACTACTACCACTACTACTACCACCACCACTACTACTACTATGACTACTACTACTACTACCACCACTATTACTACTACTACTACTACTACTACTACTACTACTACTACAACTACTACTACTAATACTACTACTACTACTACTACTACTAATACTACTACTACTACTAATACTACTACTACTACTACTACTAATACTACTACTACTACTACTACTACCACTACTACTAATACTACTACTACTACTATTATTATTATTTACTACTACTATTGATGCTGCTCCTGCTATGGTTGTCGTTGCTCCTACACTGCTACTAATATTACAACCATTCCAATTTTTGCTAATAACTTTCACTTGTGAACTTTTGCTTATACCACCACCTCCACCACTGTCACCACTGCTTCCATCACCATAGATGCTTCTTTTTCTTGTTCTTGTCCTTCTTCTTGTGCCTACGCCAGTTATGAAAGAGCCATTTTTTATTTACTAACAATGCTGTTAAAGTCGGCTCTGTGGCTAATGTGATGCGAACGCCGGCTGCCGGGTTCGATCCCAGCTGCGGCCCATAGGCCTTGCGTTGGTTTCGACAGTGGTCTCAAGAAAGCCGACCGTTTAGTAAGCAATGGCAAACTATAGGAGGTAAATTTGTCTTAAAAAAAACCACACAACAGCCAGGGGCTGTTGGGGTTGGTTCTGTAACACCCTGTAAAGGATACGCAACTAACCATGCTGTTAAAATGGTCCTTCCACATATGTGTATCTGTGTCTGTGTTTATACTATTTACACTAATAAATTCTCAATTTTACCCACAAACACGCCAACAAACACACCCATTAAGATCCATAGACAATCCAGACTGTTGCATGAAACATTCCAAAACCGACCGTGTCTTCTCTAGCATATATTTGATCATGTTTGTGCCTTCTGCCTTTTTTTGTAATATTTATAAAGACGTGACTGTGCATGTTACCTAAACTAGAGAATCTGCTTCTGTGTGTGTGGTGTGTATGTGGTGTGTTTGATGTGTGTATGTGGTGTGTATGTGGTGTGTATGAGTGTGGTGTGTGTGAGTCTGTGTGTGAGAACGTGAGTAATGTCACAGTGCTCATCCACGTACTATTTGTCGATGCAGGATACTAAAGTATTTTCTAGTTTGTAATTTATCAATGAAACTGTACTTTTGTATTTTGCCCATGTGTTTTGATATTTCAACACTGTTCTTCAGTGTTATTAAAATAAATTGTTTCAATTACTGCAAATGTTCTCTATTTTTTTAAGATGACCTCTGTATTTTAGGGGTTAATGAAACGGTTTCACAGTGCTATCCACCAGGTTTAACAGGGTACGACTGAAACGATGGGTTGATTTTTTAAAAAGCCCGTCTTCTTCTCGAGCCTGAGTAGCACTGAGGACGAGATTGAAGTCTCACTGGGATATTATTCCCAAAGTTATTATCATCATCATACGCCAAATGGCGTAGGCTATCATGCGTCTCCACAGATCACTATCCCTGGTTGCCTGGAACAGCTCTCTTGGTGATATCCCTCCATGCCATCGTTTCAGCCCATCCAGCGTCATCTTTCTTGGTCTGACTCTACCCTCTTTTCCCACAGATCTTTCCAGTTGCCACTATATTCTGCAATGTCTCTCTTTTGATTATGTGGTTGAAGAACAGTGATTGTTTCTTTCGTTTTGTTTTTTTCCCAAAGTCAGCAGTCGATAAGTTAAAGTTAACCCCACCTTTTTTTTTAATTCCTTTTTTTTTTTTTTTACATTTCAGTTCGCATCTTTCTGCCTCTATCCCTCACATCTCTCTCTCTCTCTCTCTCTCTCTCTCTCTCTCTCTCTCTCTCTCTCTCTCTCTCTCTCTCTCTCTCTCTCTGTCTGTCTTCTTTACTGTTCCATGCCAGAAGAGGATAAAAACATTTATTTTTATCAAGTGCTTTGTCGACTGGCATGGGCGATCATGCCTCTCCACAATCTGCGATCTGCAACTGCGTGCATCAGTTTATGTGATGACACACCTCCATGCCATGACGAAAGACTGTCAAAAATCTTCTCACGCTGTCTTCCTCTGTCTCTCTTTCCACAAGATGTTCAATTCTCCCTCTTCTTATCACATAATCTACACACACAAAATCTGCTCAGAGGGTAGCAAATGGAGTGAGGAAACGTGGACGCCCATAAAAGACTCTAAGACAACAGAAGATGATAGAAGCAAGAGGTGCTAGACTTGATTGTTTCCATGATATTGAAAC